CACCCACACCCACACCCACACCCACACCCACACCCACACCCTCATGGCTAGCAATGAGTGGAATAATCTGCGTTATGTATAAGTAGCTCTGCTTATCGTTTTTTCTCTTTCACACTTATCACTTGAGTGAATAAACTAAGAGCAAAACATATTTAGTCGACCTACTGATCGAAACTATTTATAGATTGGAATGATCAACATTAAATCGAATAAGAGGCGTCTTCTACTTGAACCGTTGGATATTATTTCTATTATAATTCTTTCTTTTTTTTTATTAGTCTATATGAATGTACGATATGTGGATTTAATACCCACGGCTTTTCATCATGTTAGCAATAAAAAAATATTGTTATTAAGGTGCCAGAGGCTGGTAGACATGATCAGAAATGCGAATAAAATTTTTGTTTTTTCTAACCTGTGTATGTTGAATAATAACACCATGATATTGAATTCGTTGAAATAATGATCCATAGAATTGTCCTCTTTAATAATCTCTTTCTGCCATTCTAATACCATATGGTGTACGTTCAAATGGTACAGGTGCTGGTAAAAATCGATGAGGAAATACTTCATTATAATTTGAACGCCATGATCCGCAACATTCAATTGAATTACAACGAATTATTTGTAATGTATATTGTGTTTGTAAAACATGTATAGCACGCCAATATTCATCAATATCATATTTAGGTTGTTCACCAAATTTTTCTTGTGGTACACGAGCATTTTCTTGATAATATTCATTTGATGCACGAACACGAAATTCATGTCCTGCTTTTGCTTCTTCTCCAGCACATATTCTATTTGTTAAAAATAAAAAAATAAAACTAATTTTCGTAAAAGTTCATGTATAACAATTTTAACATCAATTTGTCGACGGGCATCATCTGTTGTAGCTGCTAGATTAATATATTCAGCAACACATGGAAATCCATCAATAACTGATTGATTCCATCTTTCAGCTAAGATTTATCTAGCTTTACGAAAATTTAATTTTTCTAATTCAATATTTATTGTTACACCTGATTCATTTAAATGTGAACCAAAATGATCATGTGGTAAAATAAGACCAGCTAAATCATGAGATAATGGTGCCATACGGCGTTCAACTATATTATAAGCTGACTGACTAGGACTTTAAAAAAACTAAATATATTTATTAAAAAATTTTTTTAAATTCATGAAACAGAAAGAAACTTACGCATGCGTAAGAATAAAAAGTGCATCTAAATTATATTTTTTAAATTTGGGTGTGGGTGTGGGTGTAGATCATCTAAATCGTTACACCCACACCTACACCCAGCCGCCGCCGCTGTAGAGCTTACAAATTGAAACCAGTAGCCGTCGCCGCTGGTCAAAAATTGAGAACTGTTGCCCGCCGCCGCCGTTCAACCCCTCGGCTTATACCTCTAATTATATCTCTCTAAAGGGTGTGAGTGTGGATTGTAAGAGAATAGAAGATCCTCACCCACACTCTCTTCAAATGAAATTGAAACGATACATTATAACAAAACCCTCCGAAGTAGTTTTTATAAAAAAGAACCCATTGTTTTGTATTTTCGTGGAACTTCTATAACTTATATTTTAAAATACAGTGCGAAAAACTGAACAGTGAGCCATTATAAAATTACATCTGATCTTAAAACTCAATTAATTCTAATGATCCAAATAGATTCTATTCGTACGTTTAAAAATCTTTCTTGTAAACTAATCTATATATAACAAGTATTGAAGAGATCCATCAACATTTATGATTTTGAATATTTTGTGAATATTGTATCTATGTCCATACCTACTCGTTCGAAAATGCATCCATCTTCGTTGACATAGTTCATTATGAAAACGAATATCAAGTACTAAAAGCGTGTATTAATTTCAAAAAAGTCTTTTCTGACATAGACATATACGTTTGTATATGTCACAGTTGACATGGGAATTCAGTTGAGTTTGGAATGCATGTAGATAGTATGAGTCACACAATAATTAATGTTTGTGTATTATTGTATTCAACTTTTGTAATTTTAGCGATTCTAAATGATTCGTCGAACTTCTATGATCTATCTGGACTTATTTTAAAATATTTACATATAGAAAGTTTTCATTTTTAACCATTCTTATTTAGTGAATATTAGAATTTTATGAATTTTATTCATCTCCTTATAATTAATCGATTGATGTTCGTTGCTATGGAACATTCAGTCAAGAAACACATTCTATGTCTGTTTGTTTTTAATTACATTAATTGTTTTTTCATGTGAATCTCTTACAAAAAAAAATTATTCTATAAAAACAAATAGCTCGAATACTCTCGATTTCGTTTCAACCAATCGTTCAATGTCTCCATGTTCCGCTGCTCGAAAAAAGATCTATTCTAAAGAAACAAATAACTCAAATGCTCTCAATTTCGTTTCAACCAATGATTCAATGTCTCCATATCCCATAGCTCGAAAAACATCTATTCTATAGAAAGAAATAGCTCAAGTACTCTCGATTTCGTTTCAACCAATGATTCAATGTCCTCATGTCCCGCAGCTCGAAAAACATCCATTCTATAGAAAGAAATAGCTCAAGTACTCTCGATTTTGTTTCAACCAATCGTTCAACGTCTCCGTGTCCCGAGCACCTATATAGAGACTACAATATAAGGAAAATGATAAATAAGATTTACTTTTAGAAGAAAACAATAAATAGAATGACTAATGA